GCTGAATCAAAAGATTCTCATTGATTCCAACCCTGCGATAAGTGAATTTCTTAAGGGTAAGTTTGTCAATGATGATGGATCATTCCTAATGACTTGGGGGAAATATAAAGGTAAGACCATCCTACAGATTCAACGTATCGATAGCAACTACATTCAGTGGTTGAAGAAGAATGAGTTTGTTAATGAAAATATGCCTCAGTTGAAGTCTGCTCTTGGTGAGTTGGTTTAAGTATTTGTTGTCGTCCAAATTATATACACAACTACGGTATGGGCCAAACACCATCGCAACAGATTCATCAGGACATTCTCGAACTGAAACACGAGCTTGACATAATCAACACTGCTATCGCCAATCTACCTCGAGATATTCGAGATCAGCTACAATAATGTAATGCAGATTGTCAAGGAACAGCTGAAGGATAAAGGATAAATATGAATCAGTTGTTGATCATATCGAATCGCGTTGATCAACTCTTGTTTTTTTTTCGAATCCAAAATGTAGTTGACATCAGAGTTAGCGAATCTTATCTGTGGTGCTTGGAGATGTGGAGGAGACCTCCTTCGCACCAGATGCTACCTAGCAGTGTTGTAGTCGATTTCAATAGCTGGTGGTCAGGAAGCTCTAAACCTCCTCTCGTTGGTAAATTACGGGAAGAAAAAAAACTGGCGGCGTTATGTGCTGGATATTACTACTCGCATTGAAGAAGTTGCAAGCTTAGTGATGGAGCTACAAGAAGCTCTCGAAGTGGAAGGCGTGACAGCCTTTGCTCCACCTCCAGTCCCGACTTTTCGCTACGTTATCCGCCTCGAGAACGGCAAGATGAGGTTCTGGATGGAAGAACCTGCAAGCAAAAAACAATGGTACGTTTCTGTTTGGTGCTGGAGATTTGATTAACTAATTCTGAGGGTTTTGCGGAGCAGGTACAAGGGCGATCTAGACCGAGCCGACTATATTACAGCCACCAACGCGATACCTGGAACCTCGGCCAGTGATTTTGTGAAGGTAATTGAGCAATTTGGATTCAATGCGGCGAAAACGATTAAGTACCCTGATGCGTGTCGTGAATGTGGATACGTAGTATTTTCAAGATATCTTGGACAGTAAGCTGGATGATGCAGGGGGTGCGCAGCGCGAGTTAACGTTGCTGAGCAATGGCGCTCTTCAACTGATTCTAAGCTTGAAAATCTCCTTTCTGCACTCCACAAGATTGGCGACCTACATGTTTGTGCATAACTCAGGTTCTGTCGAGAGAATTCATACGTTGGAGGAGAAGGTGCGAGGATTGGAGAGGAAGATGGAGGTGAAAGTGCGTGCTCTGAAGGGACAAGTGGTAGATCTCAAGGAGGATCTGGCGGCACCCTCGATCCTTCAGCTCGAAGCACATGGGAAGGTAGAGATCAGCTCGAAGCTGTTCGTTTTCAAGTTGTTGTTTTTTTTATTTTTTTAGCAGCATCTTGTCTGGAAATATTCTGATTCAGCTTCGCAAGACCCACCAACAATTACCATGTTTTGCCAGCCACGAGATATTACACAACGTGCTCACAGCAACTCAAGAGCTTAGATCGAGTAGCTACTGTTGTGAAGCGCGCATTTCTTATATAGTGCGGCAAGTTCACAATATGTAACTTGCTGTTTTTCCGACAGGTTGCTCTCACGGAATACATCTCCTATGTTTCACCGG